CAAGCCCCATAGATTTAAGGACTATTAACTAGCTCTCAGCCATGCAAACACAACTTAAAAACAGCTTCATGCAGCCAGGTACCTCTCTTGTGCATTTCACTCTTCACTGTGCACTTCAAGAAATCATACAGACATGCCTATGACTACACAATCACAACACATACAACACAACAACAACTGACAAAAAAAGACACAGAGAACGGGTCCGGGGCTAAGAAAGCGGTGCACCAGGTTATGCGTCATTTACCGCAGCTCAATAACAACCTTTTTTTTCTGTCCGACACACCTGGTCACACAAAATGACACTTGCTGTCCTCTGAGAACACACACACACACAACATATCTCCTTTCACCCTATGGTGGCCTTAACCAGACACATTACATCCCCACTCTACAATCTGCTTGTGACAGATGTATTTATGTAATGGTTTTGATAGGTATTGATTCACGCGGCGGAGCCAGTTAAGAAAAGAAGAAAAATGAGATTTCAAAATCAACATGGCTGAGGGGGGTGTGTGGTGGACATGATGCCTAACAAGAAGACGAGTGACGCAGAGAGAAAAGGTGTGAGAGAGAAAAGACGCATGTGGAGAGGAGAGAGGTCAGCAGTGACGGCAAAACATTCAGAGGAAGAAGCTTAGATTGGACACACACACACACACACACACACACACACACACACACAAACGCCCCGAAAACGTGTGTGTTTGGACTGGCATGATCACATGTGTGTGTGTGACCTTGGCTTGGCCCGGTGGTAAAGTGGGGCGTCAAGAGAGTCAGTGCGAGAGCAGCCAAGCGTTCTCCCCCAGATTAGCAGGCTTTATTACTGCCACCAACCACTGGCCTGACAAATCCTCTTATTTCATTTTACCTTCCTTTACCTCTGCCTTGCTCTTTCTCTTTTCCTCACTCTTTTATTTCCCTAAAACCTCCCTCCCCTCTTTTCTCCCGACTCTGCGGTAGCTTTGCATGCTTCACCTTGTACCCAGTGTGGCTCGCTCTCAGTGTAACAGCTCTACAGCCCTATTTTCTATTTCCTCAGTTTTTTTTTTTCCTCATTGTCTTTCCATCCTCCATACTGCTCTGCCCATACCTATACAGCTCTTTTTTCTACCTTCCTCGACTCCACCTCTTGCTCCACTCCTCTCTCTATCTCTACCCCCTCTCTATAGTGTGATGAATCTGTAGACAGGGGCTAATAATTGTACTTCAGCCCAAGTGCTCATTTTTCTTTGTGTTTGAAAGCTGTGACAGGCAGGAGCTCTTTTTTCTCTACCCCCCCGTCCCTCCTCTTTCTCTCTCTCTCTCTCTCTGTCTCTCTCTCTCTCTTTTCTTTCTATCCTCACACAATGGGTGAGTAAAATAACTCAGGGTTTACAAGGTCATGCTGTCTAGCGGTGAGGACACGCTGGGGATTTGGGGCTGGAAGGATTTCCTCAAAGGTGCCGTGTTGAGACTTCAATAAAAACAGAGAAAGTTATAGATTGCACAAGCAGATCTACAGGGGGAAATAAGTGCATTTGATAGTGAAGAGGCTCACTGAATCACAGCTATCTGGATCCAAATGTTATCAATACTGCTTCTAAGATTCTTTATAAAAGGGCCACATGAAAGACTGGAGTGGAAAGAAACTGTCTACTTTGTCGCATGTGCCAGCAACTGCAACATGTTCATATTACACAACTTTCATCATTTGCAAAGAGAAAACTACTTAAAATGCTATACTTTCTGTCATATGAAACATTCACATCTTATTTGTAGTGTGTTCCTGAGCAGTGTGTTGTTTTAATAGCATGCCAAACAGTAAGAGATGTCTATTTTAGTGATACTGGTTTGTTACATCTCTGACAGAAATGTATCCGGCACAGCAAGACAGGCAGTGCACCGTTTACCTCTACAGCCTCATGCACACACACACACAAAAGCTGAAGTGGTTTTGTCACCCCATAAGTGAATTAAAAATATATTTTTAAAAAAATCAAAACAAAGCAAAACAAGACTCCTAAAATAAAGAGATTTTATTTTGACATGCTCTTTTTATTAAAATACATTAATTACAAAGGAGTCTGGGGGAAAGATCAGCTAATTTCTCTTCTTATTAAAAAGCATATAATCTCAGGCTCTGTCCAAAAAAGCAACCTGCAAGCAAAGCATATGTGCAGATATTGAAAAGAAATAATATTTTCATCGACTCTACAGTGGTACTTTATGAAAATTGATCAACAGTTTTAATCACAATGTCATCCTCAAAAGATAGAGATGGAAAGAGAGCAGGGGGGGAGGGAGGATAACAGAGAACAGGACTTTATTGCCTGCTGTAGTTAGATGGTAAATTTCCTCCTGGCAGATATTTATTGAGTTAGTTGAGTCTAGAGAGAGCTTTAACATTGATTGTGATCATTAAATATATCCGCTCGAAATGGCAACATGGCATTCCCTCAGTCAATGGAGCCAATAGGAGTAGAACAAAGGCATAATCAAATCAATCCCCTCATAATTATTCTTTGAGAGGTGAAATTAATCACAAGAAGAAATAAAAACAATAATGGAAAATGAAATGGTCAGTCGTAAACAATTACTGCCCAAATTGAAATAAACTCAGTGAAGGGAGAAAAATCAACTGTAAATTCAAGTAATTAAAATAACATTCTAATGTATATTGGTTATTTGGGTTTACACTGGCTTTTGTTTTTTGTATTGTCTTGTACTGTTATTATAAGAGAGAGATAAAGAGACAGAGAAATCAAGAGAGACAGAAAGAGAAAGTGTGTGTGTGTGTGTGTGTGTGTGTGTGTGTGTGTGTGTGTGTGTGTGTGTGTGTGTGTGTGTGTGTGTGTGTGTGTATATAGGCTGCAGGGTCAAAGGATCAAGGTCCTACTCTTGTGAGAGTCGTGCTTCTCTCTCCTCCCTGCTCGCTGAGAGGAAGTGTAGCTTATTGATTAGCTATCAGATGATTCCGATAGGGCCTGATCGATAGGACTTTGTATGAAAGCCAGGCAGGACCCTCCCTCCTCACTCAGGCACACACCAAAGGATCGGCCACTGCAGTGCACAGCTGCACAGATGTCTGGTTGTTTGTTTTTCCTCCTGAAGATTCTCCTTTGTGTCTTGAGTCTGCCCCTCTAATCGAAGGTTTCCTCAAGCGCTCCGGCTGTTTTCTTTAGTTCCACTTTTAGAGTTATCATTGATAAGCTAAACTTGCAAACGGAGCTGAGCGTGGTGATGTCTCGCTCAAAAATGTACGTCAGTGTGCTTGCGAGTGGAAGTGCACCGGTTTAAATGTGTGGAATAGGCAGGTAACACTTTAGACAAAGAACTTGCAGCTGTATTGAGAAACTGAGAAAGATTTATTGATGTGTTTCCAGCATGTAGCCTTCATCATCAGCATTAGTTTCCTATTATACAGTCACAAACAGTTGACATTATTCTTGTGGTTATTTTATTCCCAGATTGAGACTTCCACCTTTAGCAGGGAGGTGGAGGAGAGAGGAAAAACATTACAGAAGTCTCAGGTGTGGAATTACTCTCTTCAGGATCATCACTGAAGCAGGTTATGAGACTCTGCAATAAAATAACCATCTTAAGAAGTTATTTCATATAGAATTCCTTTGAATAAAATGATATTTCAATAGCAGTGGAGTGTGACACAATGCGAGAGTCAGACACAACTTGAGAGACCAGGAGAGGCAGAAATTGTCTTTTAGTATATCCAGTGGTGGCACAGCCCAACAGGAAGTCAAGTGGAAACTACAAACACAGAGGGCAGACTAACTAAATAACTTGCTGAGGTCTAACAACAGACAGAGGGAAACTAAACAGCCGACACGCTCACTGGCTGGGAAATACAACCATTCAAAGCTGAACCAGGCAGACACAAGAGAAGGGAGCGGCGTTTGTCTCTCACAGAGGCTCATGTCAAGGCCCAGCAGCTAGAAGACTGAACACACATGGAGAAAATATGTTCTATAATTGATTAACAAGCAGGCAAATGCTCATGCATGCCAAATAATTCCATGGATACTTTACCAAGGATAGAAACAAAGTGGCCTGAGCCAGAGCCGGATCAGCACCACGGACAGCAGCCGATGCAATCCTTTGTTATCATTAATGTTTTTTTACATTGTAGCTGTGGTGTTGCTGTTAAGTCCCATTTAAGTTTGGATATAACATAATCACTTTGTATGTAATAGATAAAAGTAACTGTCCTCAGGTTCACAGCACCATACAGCATCTAAACACAGATGTGTTGATTTAGAGAAAAGAAACACACTGGACAGTTTTATTAAAAAAATTCTCTGCTTGTTTTCTCACTCGATTCCTTGCTGGGAGTGTGTGTTTGTGCTGTATCTCTGTTCCAGGTATGTCCTGTGCTGTGAAAGGACAGTGATAAGACACCTGTACTCAGGCTGCAGTACAGATTATAGCAGAGCAGGACACCGGTATCAGTTTCTGCACAGGTCACGTCTGTGTGAAGGAACGGCATGTTTCTGACTGAATGTGTGAATGTGTGTTCTGTGAGTAGGCCTGCATAGAAGGAGAAAAACAGCATATGGATTAAATGACTTGGAAAAACATCATGAATTGTGGTGTAACTCAGAGGCTTTATATGCGTTTGTGTGTGGGCCAAACAGAACAGTTATTCTGCTGCTTTTTCTGCATCACACATGGGTGTGAGAGTGCAGGTCATCTGTGGGATCGGCTGGTCTGATCTGACATAAAGCAAATGAATAAAGCATTTTAATAAATGTATTATCAAACACACTCTGTAATGCTGATGATTATTAGTACACATTGAATGCATTTTTCTTCTCTCTTCTACGTTGTCAGATTTCAGTGTTTCAGTGTGCTGACTCACTTGTCAGCTACCTACGCAAATATCCCCCCTAATGGGCTCCAAATAAATGGATTTCCACTTTCTGTGTCTAAAAAGATGTCACACAAATGTTACTGTAAAACAGATTTTTATTAAATGTTCTTTCTCATTTTTTTTTTTACAGATATCATGACACTGGAATGCTGATGTTTCAAGAGCAACCTACGGCACCCAGACTGCCATAAAGCACAATGTCTCAAAAGCGTCCTAACAGTGGCTCACGGGCAACCCAACAGCCAACCCAAAGCCAGAGTTCATTATTAAAACAATGACGATAAAATAAAAACAGGAGACTGAAATCACTCATATTCTTCTGCTCCAACAACAAGGGAAGAAACACAGAAATTAAAGATCCCGGACTCTGGAAATAAGATTCTCCGCCATCTGTATTTGCTATTCATATGGACAAAGATCATCCCAGAAATACCTCCAAATTGTAATTTAGACTTATCAGAGTTTAGATTATTAATACGTAGGTTGAGTCAAATAGCAAACAGAACAAATATGATGTCCACAGCCCTTTAGCACATGCCCAGAAATCAGGATATTGTAAATATATGTACAGAAAAGGAATAGGGACACTGATGAGAAATACAGTTATTGCAGAATAATGTAAATAGCCATAAGATCATACCACTCTAGTGTGTTTATATATCCATGAGTGTCACATGCCCATTACTCCTTATTTCTTCTATGCCCAAAAAGATTTAGCACAAAGATTAACCAACGCTCTCTGTATCTCAATAGGAAACATCAACATCTACGTAGAACTAGACAAGAGGATACTGAATATACAGACATTAACTGGGAAGACACAATATGTGCCACATAGTGCACTATTGCTGGAAACAGATGCATATGCCACATGGTGTATGCTTATTAGGAAACCCTGTATTGTTATCAAGACAGGTCATTAGCTTCTTTGAACTTCGCTCTTTTAAATAGACAGTCGTGAAATGGAGAAGACTTGAGAGGGTGATAAACAGAAAACAAACTTTAAGAGATCCCTGAATTGGTCCCAAATCTTCTCCCGTCCCCACCTCCCATTGTAAACTACCACAGCAGAGCTGAACACAACTCAGACTTTAATTTATTCAATAGAGTGTATATGAAACCCCTTCCTGTACCGTATATGTAGTGTTTAAGCCCCTGTAGTGACGTAACATATCCAGATTGACTTCCGTGGTTTGGCAGCTCTCTTGTATAGAGTACAGTTACCTTTTATTCAGTTCACACCTAACTGGACATCACCGTGACCTGCCATCCTTCCTCTTTGATTCCTGTTTGGCTAGTCCCCGTCATCCTCCTCCTCTGTCCATCAGAGGGCCTGTATGCCTGCAGACCTGTCTGCAACCAGGCGCTCGCTGAGCTCCCACAGGCTGACAGCGCTGCTCTGGTCCTGGGCCTGGATGGACGGCAGGCAGCGGAAGCAGTTGTTGAAGTACATGCCACCTAACCCCTCCAGCTCCGGAGCCATGGCACAGTACACCGTGGTGGCCGCCCCTTGTTGCTGTGGACAGAGAAACACACAGAAAGAGATACGAGTTCAGTGGGCGAATCATGAGACTGAGGCAACGAGACGGAGTCAGCCTGCAGGAGGAGACAGAATACAGAGAACTCATTTACTGATGCACAGACATTAGGACGTGTCCTGTCCAGAGAAACAGAGAGGACAAACAACGGACACCGACCACATCGCTATGTCCTCTGTGAGACACACATATCTACACATACACATACAGACACATGCACACACAGACAAAAACGAGACAGCAGGACAGAGTGTCAACAGGAAAAAAAAAAAGACTCCACACGCTGTCTCTCCCCTCTCCCTGCAGCCCATGATGACTGGGTCATATTACCATGGGAACAGCATAACCCCATACTGTACATATATTTATATACATATATTTATTTATTTATTTATTTCTCTACCCGGTGTGTACAGGACCTCTGGCTATATGGGACCATGTGAATGCTACAGATGTATAGACTCACAGTGGAGAAGGTCAGAACTATGACAAGAAAATTGACACCAGCTCCTGTCTGGATGGGAATCACCAGGGAAACCACAGCTTTTATGTATATTGTAAAAGTGCAGGTTTTAATGCCATGGTTATGAATATGTATATTTTCACATGATGCGTATATGGGTTCAGCCAGGCTTTCAAAGTTGAGTATTGGAAATGATGCAAGTACAATTCTGTACCTAAGTGTTTAAAATCAGAAGTGATATTTTCACATACAATACACAAATACCCACCCACACACACCCACACACACACACACACACACACACACACACACACACACACACACACACACACACACACACACACACACACACACACACACACACACACACACACCACAAGGCTTTCCCTCTGGCTCTTTCTCAATAAATCCTTTTTTAGGCAAGTTTAAATCTGAAAATCACTCAAGTCTCAACCCCAGAATTTGACTCTGTTTCATGTCATCTCAAACTTGAACGCATTGTGAAAGTAACATTGCAGTATTTGGATGGAACCTGCTAAGTTCTACTAATATACCCTGTGCCATCAGTCAGTAATTAGTAGGGATATTCTTGGAGGAGGGAGATTTCTGTGACATTTGAAAATGAAAGTTGAAACTGCAGCAGAATAAACACGTCAGAGAGAATTACACACATAACCCAACTGCTCAAAGAGGGATCTTTCATGTTGCAGCTCCAGCTAAAAGCTGCTGTGACAGCTTCCCTGCAAACTCCGGGGCTGGAGACGACTTCTATATGGCCACATGAAATGGCTCGCCTCTTTATCTCCCAATGAGAGGCAGCGAGAGTGAGATGGGGGGAGGAAAGGGGAGTGAGAGAGAACACTGATGTGAAGACTAAGGACTAATGTTTAGCACAGAGCACTGGCACACAGTGAGACAACCCCATACGCAGCAGTCAAACATGGGCAAGACACAAACATACAAACACATGCATTATGGAGCCATATTACATGCCAACTGTTTGAACAGCTTCTTAAAGCAGCTGTGAAACCAACACACATGAAGTAGGAAAGATCATACTTTCACATACAAGTACAAAAATATGCCCATAAATGCAAATGCAATGAATGAAATACACACACGAACCAGATTCCAAGAAATATTTTTCTCATTAACACACACAAACCCACCCACCCACACACACACACACAGACACACACACACACACACACACACACACAACCACACTTACACACAACCCCCTCTAAGCTCTAAGTAAACTTCCGCCAGGAGGAGCCCTGGTTGGTAACGTCGCAGCAGCAGATTGAGTGTGTTTGAAGCGCAGTGTGATGAGAGAGCTGGTAAACAGCAGATGAAAAGGCAGCATCTCTCTGTGCGCCGCTGTCTGTCTCACCTGCCAGCAGGGCGATAACTTCATCCACATCACATGTTGCCATATCAAAGACAGACAAATGCCAAGCAGTGTCTCTGAGTTGCAGGTTCACACACGCTCAGTTTAACTCATCTCCCTTGCTTAGGGCATCTGATTTAGCTCGTCTGAAAGCTAAATGCCTTTTAAACTCCACTGAAGATTTCAGTGCTGCAGGCTCTGACTCGCTGATGCCCCCTTGAACTTGGCTGACTTTCAAAGCAGTTTGTTTGTGTCCAGTTACCAAACACTGGTCCCGCTGTAAGTTGAAATATTGATAAAAAAAAAACTTTCATGTTCATAATCCAGATTTATGTGGCTGACTTCATTCTTTAAATTATTTTCCTAGAAAAGCAAGTCTGTACAACTGTTTCTCTATGACCTACGACAGTCCAGTTAGCAGTGCATGGATCAGTACACGGACTGTGCTGTGCATCCAGCAGTGTGCTATCTTATTGGTGTTTAGCTCATCCCCCTCACCACTTGACCTTGTGACCTCTGTAGAAGATAAGGCTGATGAGATTAGGCATTAACATGCTCAACCACCCACCACAGCCATCTATCATTGTGTGTATGTGTGTGTGTGTGTGTGTGTGTGTGTGTGTGTGTGTGTGTGTGTGTGTGTGTGTTTGCAGACAAGAGGTGTGTTGGGTACTGAGAAAGAGAACAAGAGGGGGGTGTGCATCAACCTTGATACACAGTTACACATACAGTATTCATATGTGCATGTCAGAACACGAGCATGTGCCTGCACACGAGCACGAACGGATACGCAAATAAACACTCAGAACAATCTACATGAAAGGTAATGTCACTGAACCAGTGTGCATCATATACATCTCTGGCATAACAGCCATTTCTAACCCATGTGAAACTGTAGATTATGCCTGTAAACTTAGCTGTCTACAAACTGATGGATTTTGCTGTGTGTCTTTCTATCTTCTACAACTAAATGTAAATCCTTACCATGTGTACAGTAGTTTTCCGACAAACATCTGTGCGTTGTTCTCTACTACGCAGAGCTGTAGACTTGGACTTGCCTGACAGCTTGACTTGACATGAGACTTGAAAACAGTTCTGACTGGATACATTCTCACTGATAATATAAAAATAATATCCCGCAATTTGCCGTGTTGCAGGTTATTGCAAAGGTTTTGTAGCTGTGATAAATAAAGTGCATTCACTTAATCATTGTGATTTGTTATGATTGTCTGGTTGCCCTGCATAATGCTGTGCAATTCAGAAAGCCAGTCACATGGATGTACTTCAAATATTTTATTATGGGCTCTCCAAGTCATCTTTCTCAAATTTGAAACTGTTTCCTAGTATTTCTTAAAGGATTCAATGAAGTGCATTGAGGAGACCTGGTTTAAGCTATGTAAAAAAAACATTTAAAAAGGTGTTCACTAGTGTCATTAATGAGCACAGTCAGCATTCAGAGGCAATGAAGACTTGAGACTCGACCAGGACTTCAGACTTTGCTTGGACATTCCCCAAAAGAAAACCAGCTCTGCTACTACCACACTGATTTAGGGAGGGAGGGGAGAAGATGGGACAGAAGAGCACCAAAACAACCCTAAATCGAAACTGAACCTCTATTCTAAAACTAAAACATAGAGATCACAGCACCACAGCAATATGACAAACCAAAGGAGCAGGACAGAACCAAGTGACAGCAGATTTTAATTACTTCTGTATATCTGATTCTGTGGGTAATAAATACACACCCAAATGCTGAGAGAATACTCGCGAAACACCCTGCAATAAGCTGACTGTAGATAAGCAGGAATGAGCCTGCACTTAGCCTGGGATCCACTACTATGGCTCTGGAACTGCTCTGGGATCAGATCCAAGTCTTCCAATCTAAGTATCGACTCAATACCCAAGGACCTCATGGACTTGCAATAGAAATGTCCTTGTATAGTGTTACGCAATAATCAGTTGCTGAAAACTCCTTATTGAGCGTATTCAAAAGCAAAAAGGTTTATGTGGGGAGATGTGATGTTGTTGAATTACCAGTAATGTTACTTTGCTGTGTTCTGTTCTGTGTCTTCATCATCCAAGTTGTACTCAGCCGTATGAGCTTTCTCTGACCCTATGCATGTGACCCTTCACCCCCACATCTGTAGTTATGACACTGACCTCTCCCTCTGACCTGGATGTAAATAAACCCAGTACTGTAGAGCAGTATGTTTTTGGCCCATTCCTGTACATATAAACATGTAAATACAAACAGCTATGCATGCTGAAAACCTAGCAATTCTTTCAGGTACTTTTATAATCCCCAAATTCTCATATGGCATGTGCTGAAAAAAAAAAAAATAATAATTTAAAAAAGTAGAAAAAAGAAAAGATTAAAAATAAATGAGTTGATAATATTGTCAGGCAATATCCTCTCTTGGACAGTGTGTGTAGAGTCTTCCTGTTTTCTTACTCCTGTGGGTGGTTCTCTTCCTTTGCCTGTCCTTCTGTGTTTCTGCTCACCATCTGTGTCAGTTGTTGTCAGTTGGCATTTGTACAGCAGCGAGGGTTGAGGCAGAGCAGAAAAGAGAGGGGGAGCATTCATCAGCTGACCTCTGTGATGGCACTCCAATTCAGCAGCAGTGCTAAATGTTGGCAAAGCCCCTTATGCCTGGGACATAATTTTAGAAGTTCAGTTCCTGGCATGAACCACAGATCATTACAGCATATCCATGCTTGTTATGTGGAGGCCCTCTGGATATGCAGCAGGTCAAGAAAACTGTTTCGGGTTGGAACCAAAAAAGTTTTTTTTTTTTACAGCCTGCTTGAAGTTTGTTAAGCTGTCAATCACAGACAAAGCGGCACCTTGTGACTTGAAATACCCACGCTGTAATAAACAAGTGCTGATAATTTCTTGCAAATACTATTTTAGTCACATTTTAGGATAACAGACATGTTGAACTACAATTTTTTTTCTCATCTATACCTGGTAAATACCTGAATTCTTAAAGGTACTTGATGGATGAAAATTATTTTCTACAATCCAATGTGACAAGGCTACAGCATGCATTTGGAAAGTATTTCCTGGCTTGTAGCTCCAGTATAGGGATCAAGAGGAGTGCAGTTTTTGCCTCAGCCCTCTGCCCAGCCTAGTGGACTAGCTATCCTGAAAGTGGGATTCCAAAGGGATTGTGATTCTGTTTCAGGAATGTTTTTTTTTTCAGTCTGTGATGTTTAAAATAGATGGAGGTGTCTGATTTTTAATCTGTGCTAAAGATATTTTACATTTAATAAATAATCATTGAAATCAAGAACTTCCTCTGTGTATATGTGAAGTTTATGTGTGTGTGTGTGTGTTTGTGTGTGTGTGTGCGCGTGCGTGCGTGCGTGCGTGCGTGCGTGCGTGCGTGCTGAGCTATCTTTGCCCTCAGCCACGGTAACCTCTGCGAGCTGACAGCTCAGCTGAGCGTGCCTGGCCCAGCTGTAGAGGGAATCCTGGGTAACGCGGCCCCCTCAGATAAACAAGCTGTACCTCCATTCAGCTTGACCACTCAACCAGGAGGAGAGGAGATTAGCACCTCAAACACCTCAGCGCACACTTCAGAAAACACCCTGACACTCACCCCCCTGACTCTGTGGTGACCTCTGTCACCCTGACTGAGGTAGGCCAAAGGTCATATTAGATGTAAGCGAGTGAAGCTGCTGTGCCTTTTCTCAGTTCTAGCACAATAAAATAATCCATATGCACAATTTATTCACTTCTACACATCCAACAGCATTGAATATAGGCTAAAGCCTTTCTTTGAGTGGGACCCACGTCCATAATCTGACTTGTGAGAGCTTGTTTACCACCAGCTCTACTTATCATGGGTGTCCCCAGTGATTAGTCTACCACTGGTCATCTGTATGTACTAAACTCTATTTCATACCCTCCATTAGCCCACAGGCTGATGGCTAATACTCACCTACGGGCAGTGTGCTCCCCAGAGGGGCATTAAGGACAGGATGGAAGGACCAGGCTCCTCCCTCCCTCCTTTTCTTTCCGTTCCTTCACCATGCCCGCTCAATCTCTCACAGTCTGTCAGCCTTGCCCCCTGCTCCTTCCTCAGCCCTTTCTTTTCCATCAACCCTCTGCAGATCCCTATTCCCCTGCCAGCCCCATCCCCCTCCGGCCTCATAACATGAAGGACCGGGTATACAGTGCTACTGTAGCTGAGGTCTCATGGGTAAACGGTCATAGTAGGACCTCTTGGAGGTAAATGGATCTCTTTCCCTGGAGTCCCAGATCACAGATGAGCCGTGCTGACATTCTTTCTTTCTATATAGGCGAGCAGAGTGATGTAGTAGAAGATGAGAAGGCAGAGAAAGAAAGGAGCAGAGGAATAAACTATGTAGGAGTGACAGGAACACAACACAGCAGCGGAGACCCCCTCCTGCACTATTTCTCTCTCTTTTTCTCTGTGGCCCTCTCTTTACCCCTTTTGCACCAGATAAGATCAACTGAGTGTCAGTCATCAACAGCCTCCTGTCACACTGTGATTGTTCATCTGTCGTGTGTGTGTGTGTGTGTGTGTGTGTGTGTGTGTGTGTGTGTGTGTGTAAATGCGCAGTCCAATGCGACATTGCTGCATACATTTAATGCCCGCATGTTCGAGGGAACAATAGAAGAGGAAGTGAGGAACGAGGTGGAGGGAATGCAAAGGACAAGAGGGAAAGGAGGAGGGGAGGCATAAAGATGAGAGGGGGGACAAGGAGAGCGGAGAAGGAAACAAAGGAGAGGAGGAGATGAGGGAGCTAGGACACAAGGCATCCAAGGGGAAAACGACGAGGAGTTAGAAGGACTTGCGCAACCACTGTGAAACTATCTCATTTTTATCTTGCGAGAGGACTTCCGAAGTGATCCGCACAACCTAATTATTTTCCCCTAATAAAAGCAACATATGCTAAGACAATAAAAGGCCTTATTGGACACCTATTCATTAAAGAGGAGCAGTAAAAGGAGCAGGACTCTGGCACAGGGATTAGCTTTTAAAAGGGCTTTTCTCTGGCTGGAAATGGCCTTAGTCTTCCTTTAGCACGCCCATATGGGTGCATAGCCCACCATAAAAGATCTGAATTATACATGAAGAGGCCTGGCTGCTTTATTGGCTGTGATCTGCTTTTTCACTCTCACCTGATTGCGTCAGTGCACAATACCTCAAAGTTTGGACCGAGTCACTCTTGAATCTCATGTACTGTGTATGAACGCTACAAGGTGCGCAGTTTTGAGCGAAAGAATCGCTCAAATGTAAAGTACATACTGGTAACGACAACCATTCAGCAGCAGTAAGATAACCCATAATTCACAAAAGTTGGTTAAGTTAGTAACACCGGGTTGAAATAACGCATGCTGGTGACTCACGTCTGACAGTTTGACACAGTGAAGTCATTATTCCATATGGTCATTGTACAATAAGTGTCAGTATGTTTCTATTATGAGCAGAGCAATGCTGTCTGTGTGTCGGTATGTGAGTGTGTGATGAGCTGGTGTAATAGGGCCACACACAGGTGTGTGTATGCTCACCTCCTCACTGATGCACCAGCTAATTGGTCTCCTGCGGCAACCTGACATATTCACACACTCACAATTTCTCACACACACACACATTTTCAGGTGTGCATATACCAAAAAAAAGACACACGCACACATACGATGTAAAATAGTTATATCCACATGTATATAGAGTGTGCAAATAAGCACATGTGCAAACACAAGCATGCATGCGCCCACATGCACAGGCAGCCCGCAGTGTGTTTCCAAATGAACTCATTATCACAGTGCTGACTCCAAGTGAAGAATGACACCCTAACAGACTGCTCATACTGTACACACACCTACTATAAAGTACTGTAAAATAAAATAAAAACCAATGACCAGAAAGGCATACTGTAAAACACATGCTATGAAAGAAAATCTACCCAAAAGCCAAACATCTTTAAGCGTTATTTCTCCACCAAAAAAAACACACAAAATACAAAGCAAAAAATGATCTGTCTTTTGTTATGTTAAATACTGGTGATGATATCAGCCATCACTCCAACAGCAGACCTGTACCCAGCGGTAACAATTACTGAGAATACAATATTTAACATTACAACTGGGAAGGAAGCCCCATTGTTCAACAGAGCAGAGATACATTTTAAAGCTATCATACAAACAGCAATGTATTTTTAGGCAAATGTCTGACATCGTTGGAAAGAAAACTGTGAATCATAAGTAGTCTAGTCCCACTGAATGCTTCAGTTCAAATGAAAGTCCTTTTCTTTATTTTTTTTAATACTCAATATTCTGTTTGTTTCTTTAAAGCTCATCTTAACCCTATCTTAAGTTCATCTTCCTCTGTGGCTGGAGTAGGGAAGAGAAAAGTCTGCTCACATTGTCTATCCTGCTCATTTATCCATTCCCTCTAACCCATTCTCCCCCTCCCCATCCCGCGTGGTGGAGGTCGAGAGAGGGATGTTCTGTTTTAAATAAGAAGGCAGCACTGGCCCATTAAACTCTGATAGTAATGATATTAATTTGGCAGGAACGTGTCATTTTCACAAGAGAGCAACTAGCTGAACTGTCATTACGCACACACTTACACACACACACACACACACACACACACACACACACACACTTACACAGGCGAAGCATTCACACTGTCTCTTCTACACACTCTCACACAAATGCATCCCCTCTCTCTCTCTCTCTCTCTCTCTCTCTCTCTCTCTCTCTCTCTCTCTCTCTCTCCTCTCTCTCTCTCTCTCTCACTCCCTTCCTCACACACACACACAAACCAGGAACATGTCACAGGAGAGCAGCTAGCGGTAACATTATGAGAGAGTTGAAGAGATCTGCTAATGGGATAGATTAGTGTGCCCTTGGTCACAACGGCTACAATGGAGTGACTGGAGTTGTGACTTATATCCAAGTCCCACCTCTTCACCTCCTTTTACTCTCCTCTATAGCAATTTCTCCTGCTTTCTCTTCATCTGACCCCTTCTTCCTCTCTCCCTTCTGATCTTCTACAACTTCATATTTTTTTTCGCCTATTGCTTTGTCCTCTGCTGAGCAGACCAGGTTTATGACTGGGCGTTGGAAACTTCATCAGAACAGAAACCGAACTCAGGGTAAAGATGATAGAACTGTGTGTTGCAGCCTGAATGCAGAGCAGTGATACATTATCAGAATTGGGTTGTTTTTTTCTTCATTATGGATCTTTGTTAATGGAGCCTAATGAGCACAGAGGACCTTTCTAATCAATACATGAATAAAAGTGATGGGGATCACAAAGTGTTAGTTGTGTGCTGAGTGAAAATCTGTCACAATCAACAAGATAGCAAAAAATCATTTCATTGTTAGTATTTTTTCATTTTAATAGATTGTAAGTTATTATCCATTTTAAATTGGTGTTCACATCTAGAAATTCAGGTTTGGTCTTGTCTCTATGTTGCCATCTTGATGTTGACATTTGAATGGGTGAATGTATGTATAGGTTTGTGTATGTGTTCATGTGTGAGTGAGAAGGAAATGGCTAGAGAGAGGTTTAGAGGAAAAGGGTGCGGAAATTAAATAAACTTTGCATTAAAAAAATGTTACTCCCAAAGGACTGCAGAGCGAGCCTCTGAGAACTACCATTACTTGTTATAATTAATGTAGACTGTTGTTGTTCCTTTCAAAAAATAGTCAAAGGAGGTCACTTTACATTTAAATTATTTTATATTAGGTGCCACCCTGCCTGAGAGAATTTCCTTGGTGACAGCTTCAATGGGGAGAGATTTTCTTTCTCAGTGTGCTTATTGATTAAACACCTAAAACTTTAGAGGGTCACATTAATAAACACGCAGTATTTTATCTGTGATTTTGTTGTTGTCTGTATTTGATGTGATTCTTCAGAGGTCAGTGTGCTGCACTCATCAGGCTGTGACTCAAATACGATCTGTCCAGTGTCTCTATAACACTGCTAAATACACACACACACACACACACACACACACACACACGTCTCTCTAGCACACAAACAAAACACACACACAGGTCACATATGTATGCCTACCTACATTCAAACACACGTTGACCCTCAAAGCAGTAAAAACACTAGAGAAGGATGTGCCAGCGCATTGTGCAGTGTGAGAAGAAACTGAATGCATTTACCTATTTTTATTGGTATGCTGATCCATGTGTTTGTGTGTGTGTGTGTGTGTGTGTGTGTGTGTGTGTGTGTGTGTGTGTGTGTGTGTGTGTGTGTTGTGTTTGTGAGTATGTGTGTGAGTGCATGTATGGGTGTGTGTGT